TAGAGACGGGGTTTCACCATGTTGACCAGGATGGTCTCGATCTCTTGACCTCGTGATCCACCCGCCTCGGCCTCCCAAAGTGCTGGGATTACAGGCTTGAGCCACCGCGCCCGGCTGGTTTCATTTTCATAGCTTTTTAAAAATAGAATCTTGTGTTACACTGTAGAATTTTATACGTATATATATGTATACACATGTAAGTGTGTGTGTGTGTGTGTGTGTGTGTGTATATATATGTCAAGACTCTATCTCAAAAAAATACATTATATATATACACGTGTGTGTGTACATATATATACATGTGTGTGTGTGTGTGTGTGTGTGTGCATATATATATTTTTATTTTTGAGATAGTCTTACTCTGTTGCCTAGGCTGGAGTGCAGTGACACAATCTTGGCTCACTGCAACCTCCAACTCCCGGGTTCAAGCAATTCTCCTGCCTCAGCCTCCTGAGTAGCTGGGACTACAGGCACGCACATGCCCAGCTAATTTTTTGTATTTTTAGTGGAGACAAGGTTTCACCATGTTGGCCAGGTTGGTCTCGAACTCCTGACCTCAAGTGATCTGCCTACCTCGGCCTCCCAAAGTGCTAGATTAGATTACAGGCATGATCCATCCATGCCTGGCCTGTGGAATATATTTTTATTATTATTATTTCAAAACTAGTTTTTTATGTTGTTTAGAAATGGGCTTTAAAAAGATTTGAGGAGCAGATTTGTTTTTAATTGAATTGTCCTCCATAGGGGCTGCTGAGATGTCCTCTATTCTTGAAGAGCGTATTCTTGGAGCTGATACTGCTGTAGACCTTGAAGAAACTGGGCGTGTCTTAAGTATTGGTGATGGTATTGCCCGTGTACATGGGCTGAGGAATGTTCAAGCAGAAGAAATGGTAGAGTTTTCTTCAGGCTTAAAGGTAAATTATAAGATTTTGGTGTTTTAGGATCTGTCTTCTCACTTATTCATTTAGCGATTCAGAGATTGTGTCATCTTTTTTACAAACTTTTAAGTCTCAATTTGACTCAGATTTTTTTTCTTGGCTATTATATATTGTAAAGAGAATAAACTTAAGGGTTTGTATTAGCCAGCTTTTTTTATTCTAGGAGTTAAATCACTCCTAGAATATGTATGTGTTAGTTGTAGCCACTGGCTCCAAAATATAAAATTGAGTACACTTTCACCCAAAACCCGAGAAGTTCAAATCTGTTCTTTCTTGCTATTAAGATTATTTTATACAAAAGCATTTGATAACTTCAACAAAATTTTTGTGGTGGAATGTTGGAAGTCAGTGACTTTGTATTTTCTAGTGAGTAGACCTATTGCTGAAAGGTGAGTTTTGGTGTAGCTATTAGAAGCTCTCTAATGATATAAGTCTGCATTCTATTGGGTTGAGCCTTATCTGCCAGTGGTATGAGAAATAAGTTGTGGGAGTCATGGGCTCTCTGAAGAAAGCAGAGGATGATATCTAGATAAACCAGGGACAGTAGAACTGTCTAGTAGGCACACAGATATAGGAAAAGATAGTCTTGATACTCTTGCTAGTCTCTACTATGGAAAAAGAGCCATTTGATGTGGAAGACTAATTTCAAAGCCCAAAGTTATCATTAGCTGTAAGATGTTGGCCAAAATTTAGCATCTTCAGTATACGGTATTTATCTTTGAAAGGTGAGGTTGAAACAGATTAATTCTGAATTCCCCTTTTAGCTTTTAAAATCCAAATGTCTAGAACAATACTGAGCAATAGTATTGTACATACATAGTATTCTGCGGTGATAAGAATACATCTGTGCTGTTTAATGCGGTACTTACTATACTATCGCTATTAAGCATGTAAAATGTGGCTAGTGTGACAGGAACTGAATTTTTAGTCTTTGAAATTTGACAGATTTAAATTGCTGCATGTGGCTAATGGATGAACATCAGAGATGTAGGTTAAAGTATCTGGACCTGTAATGATATTCCATGATACTCCCAAGTACTTCTCTAGAGTTTTTATTACTGACCAGACTATTCCTGGAATAACCTTTTTGCCTCAGACATGATTTAAGGATCTAAAATATAGTTATCATGATGAGAGGTGATGTGGTGCTGTTATATTATGAAAATTTGTATTTGATTGGTTACAGTTAGGTAGCTTTTAATATCACTTTCTCCTAACCCGAGGGGTACAGGTTCTGATTAGATAATTTTTGAAACTGTTTATGGAGCTTCTCACAGATAAAAAAGATGATAATCAGATTTGTCTTAAGGTTTCCATTTGGCCCTTATCACTTTATTGCATACTGATCATCCAGCTCAAGAGCCATTGCCAAAGAAAGTGCAGTGGAAACAAACTTAACCTGTCCAATTTCTCTGCTTCTATAATAGTTGAGGTTATAATAGTGAGCATATTAGGCTTATCAATGTGCTGTCCTAAGATTATTGAAGGGAACATATTGCTATTTTAAAAGTCTTAATCAGAGAAGGTTGGTTGTTAGTTGGGAAAGTACTCAAGAATAAACCAGATAAAAGGACAATACTGCTTTTTCCCCCAGCTGTTTTCTTATATAGTATTGATATATGGGAAGGAGTGCCCATTCAGAGTCTTTGATGTTCAGTTGTTTCTTTTGTGCAGGGTATGTCCTTGAACTTGGAACCTGACAATGTTGGTGTTGTCGTGTTTGGAAATGATAAACTAATTAAGGAAGGAGATATAGTGAAGAGGACAGGAGCCATTGTGGATGTTCCAGTTGGTGAGGAGCTGTTGGGTCGTGTAGTTGATGCCCTTGGTAATGCTATTGATGGAAAGGTAGGTTTAATGTTCATTAGATGTAGTTGCAACTTCCAACAAACATCAAAACATTATGCTTAGGAGGTTTTTCTTTTTATTTTTTTTAACAGGGTCCAATTGGTTCCAAGACCCGTAGGCGAGTTGGTCTGAAAGCCCCTGGAATCATTCCTCGAATTTCAGTCCGGGAACCAATGCAGACTGGCATTAAGGCTGTGGATAGCTTGGTGCCAATTGGTCGTGGTCAGCGTGAGCTGATTATTGGTGACCGACAGACTGGGTAAAGAATCAAAAGCATATTAAAAGTTCTAACTAAAGGGCCAGGCTCACACCTGTAATCCCAGCACTTTCGGAGGCCGAGGCAGGTAGATCACGAGGTCAAGAGATGGGATACCATTCTGACCGACATGGTGAAAACCTGTCTCTACTGAAAATACAAAAATTAGCTGGGCATGGTGGTGCATGCCTGTTGTCCCAGCTATTTGGGAAGCTGAGGCAGGAGAATCACTTGAACCTGGGAGGCGGATGTTGGAGGAGCTGAGATGGTACCACTGCACTCCAGCCTGGTGACAGAGCGAGACTGCATCTCAAGAAAAAAAGAAGTTCTAACTAGAATTTACTCAATGGAAGGATTACGTTTTTTTTTTTGAGACGGAGTCTTGCTCTGTCACCAGGCTGGAGTGCAGTGGTGCAATCTCGGCTCACTGCAGTCTCCGCCTCCTGGGTTCAAGTGATTCTTCCGCCTAGCCTCCCAAGTAGCTGGGACCACAGGCGCGTGCCACCACACCCAGCTAATTTTTGTATTTTTAGTAGAGATGGGGTTTCACCATGTTGGCTAGGATGGTCTCGATCTCTTGACCTCGTGATCCGCCTGCCTTGGCCTCCCAAAGTGCTGGGATTATAGGCGTGAGCCACTGTGCCCGACCTGGAAGGATTACTCTTTAATCTTGGAATGGTAAATGGTAATGGGCATATTAGAATGTAATATGCGGATTAATAGTAGTAAAATTTTAGCTGGGAAATTCTTTTAGGTTTAGGAAGATTTATATTTACTTTCTCTCTTTAAAGGAAAACCTCAATTGCTATTGACACAATCATTAACCAGAAACGTTTCAATGATGGATCTGATGAAAAGAAGAAGCTGTACTGTATCTATGTTGCTATTGGTCAAAAGAGATCCACTGTTGCCCAGTTGGTGAAGAGACTGACAGATGCAGGTATTGAAAGAACTTTAGTCCTATTGCTATTATCTTAAGTCCTATTGCTGCTAGTTTTAGAATAGCTTCTACTTAATGAAGGCTTATTTTAATTACTCTCTAATAAACTGAACTTTTTAATACAAATCAGTAAGTAAAGTAATATAAAACACTAATACATTCAAAGGTTTTTATTGGTTTCTTTAAAGTGGAAAGCCTGCTAGACAAATTCTATAAGAACTGTAACACTTGTTCAGCTCTTAATAGTAAATATTTTTAGCACTTGGGTAATTTTTATAGTAGCCTCCAATTTAAAATCACAGTTTTGATAAACTTGTAAAGTTTAAAATGTATTTTCTCCTCAGATGCCATGAAGTACACCATTGTGGTATCAGCTACGGCCTCAGATGCTGCCCCACTTCAGTACCTGGCTCCTTACTCTGGCTGTTCCATGGGAGAGTATTTTAGAGACAATGGCAAACATGCTTTGATCATCTATGATGACTTATCCAAACAGGTCAATGGAAATATATTTTTTAGAATCCACTTATTTGTACTGCAGTGAAAGTTCACATATGCAGCTTCTATTTAATAGGTCAACTTCACAAACCTATTCTGTACCATAGGCTGTTGCTTACCGTCAGATGTCTCTGTTGCTCCGCCGACCCCCTGGTCGTGAGGCCTACCCTGGTGATGTGTTCTACCTACACTCCCGGTTGCTGGAGAGAGCAGCCAAAATGAACGATGCTTTTGGTGGTGGCTCCTTGACTGCTTTGCCAGTCATAGAAACACAGGCTGGCGACGTGTCTGCTTACATTCCAACGAATGTCATTTCTATCACTGATGGACAGGTATTATTTTAATGATTAAAATAAATGTAAAAAAAGATGTGGAGATGTGGATAATTCTGAGGCTTTGGTTGAGACTAATAATGCATTAACTGATTTGCTAAATGCATTTTACTTTTTATTATGGAAAATTTCAAATACATACACAAGTTAGGAGAATGGCATAGTGAAACCCCACAACTGTCACCCAATTATTTCATAGAGGAGTGTGTTTCATTCTAGTTTCATTTATAACCACTGCTATTCTCCCTTCTAGATAATTTTGAATGAAATAGAGATTATATCACTTCGCTTGATATATTTCAGTATAAATATGTTGCTTCTACCTTTTTTCTCATCTCATGCACATTTCCTAATTGCAGCAATAAAATATACAGGATAATTTGGGTTGTGAAATATTTGGGGGATTGATGCTTTGCATTGTTAGGTTTTGAGTTTCAGCTTTTTGGCATAATGACTTACATTTGAAAGTAGTTGATTTTTCACTTTAAGCTTGCTAGCATGTGTCTTTCCTTACATTATAGATCTTCTTGGAAACAGAATTGTTCTACAAAGGTATCCGCCCTGCCATTAATGTTGGTCTGTCTGTGTCTCGTGTCGGATCTGCTGCCCAAACCAGGGCTATGAAGCAGGTAATTTTGCATCACTTTGACAGGAAAGGGGATATCATTAGATCAGCATCTTAAAGTATTAATGTATTAACTATATTTGTATAGTAGTCTGTGTCATCGAGTTACAGTACCAGTAATTTTTGTATTACAGGTGGCAGGTACCATGAAGCTGGAATTGGCTCAGTATCGTGAGGTTGCTGCTTTTGCCCAGTTCGGTTCTGACCTTGATGCTGCCACTCAACAACTTTTGAGTCGTGGTGTTCGTCTAACTGAGTTGCTGAAGCAAGGACAGTATTGTGAGTTGTTCTTTTCTCCATCTGGTCAGGTTCCTCTTATGTATCAAGATCTTCCCAGGCCTGCAGAGCTATATCACATATCACAGCCTGTAGTATGTGTTGTTATCTGTTATCTTCATCAAAGGCAATTTTATTTAAACTACATTTCTGTTTGTTTTGGGGTTTTTTTGGGGGGGGTGGGGTAAGGGGACAGAGTTTCAATCTTGTGACCCAGGCTGAAGTGCAATGGTGTGATCTTGGCTCACTGCAACCTCC